AACGGCCTCCGCCCACATCTCTTTGGGCTACCCCGAATCCTCGAGCATCGCCCGGACCTTCTCCTTCAATTGCCGGTTGAGCTGCTCTGCCGATCCGTTCTGCTCGGCTATGTAGGGGGCGGTCTTCTCGTGCACCATCCCCTTGCCCCCGTAACACGTCCTTGAGGGCCTTGTGGACGTACTCCTTCCCCCAATCCGTCCGCACCGACCTGAGCTTCTTCCCCGATTGCAACTCCGACCGGTTAATCACGTGCTCGGTCACCTTGGCTACCTCGCTCTTCTGCTTCATGGGGACTACCACCGAGAGCTTGCTGAAGTCGGCAAAAACGCGGCGAAGTACCGGCTCCCCCCGACCGAGGGGACTGGCATCAGCCCGCACACGTCCATGTGGACCAGCTCGAGAGGTTCCATGCTTACCAACTCCGATTTTGGGAAGGGGGGCCGCGTTTGCTTTTTCATGATGCACGGCTCACACACCGAGGATTTGAGCGCCTTGAACGCCCCCGGGTTTCACGCCAACACCTTTAACGAAATTGTCTTTCACCATCTTCGCCAGGTTCTCATACCTGGCGTGCAACGTCCGTCGGTGCCATAGCTCGCCCGTTTCCGGCTATCTCACGAGGGAGCACGCTGTTGGAATTCGGTGATTATAGTAAGCCGAATTACTGTGATTAGGGTTTGGCCCGAGTCAGGGTTTGTACTAGTGAACGCCGGCGTGCGTGCACGGCGGTTAGGCGGTTATACCTTGGAGGTTAGGCGGTTGAGAGGACCGTAAATGTGACCGTAGATGAGGATATCGAAGGCTGAGTGTGACCTAAGCTAGTGAGCCTAGTAGTGTGTGACTTAGGCTAGTGAGCCTAGTAGTCTAGTGAGTTTAGTGGAAGTACAGATCCGTGAGACAATAGTGAGGAGAAACACTATTGTCACACATCATTCTAAGAGGAGATTGTGGAGAGAAGGAAGCCGCTTGTGAGGCGCTTTGTGTGTTTCTCTTACGATGCATGGCTGATCAATGATTGATGAGCATGAGTGCCGAGCACTACAATAAGACCCAATGACGAGTGACCATAACACAAATATAGCACAATCTCAACACACGCGTCCTTCCCCGCCGCGGCGCCCTCCCGCTCCAGTTCGGAAAGCGGCCCCTTTTGCACCACTTTTGGAGATCCTGCGTTCTCCGCCCGGTCGACTACGTAGATCCCCTTCACTTTCCGAGCTACAAGGACTACCTCCCCGTCAACCTCAAGCTCACAGTTGCCGTTCTCCTCGAACAACACTGACGCGACCTCGGTTGCCTTGCTCACCAAGATCAGGTTTGCCGCAACCAAGGACGTACATCACGTTTTGCAGAGTCACCGGACCGTCTCCCATCGGTGTAGCACACGACAGCTCAACTGAGCCGCTCCCCTCTCCCCACAAATTTCCCTTGTCTCCGAACGTGAACTCTCGGCCACTCCCCCCAAACATCTCGAGAAACTCAAAAAGGCTTTTGTCCCCGTTTAGGTGCTGAGAGCTACCCGAATCAACGAGGCACTTGTCCGCACCTACCCCCTCAACCACGCTAAAGGCACTCCTTTGGAAGG